TAATTGTTCGAGTAAGGTCTCCAAATATTGATAAACTCCACCTCCAATTCCCGAACTCACTAAAATTATATATTCTCTCCATATTAAAATATTTGTTACATTTTTTTAAAGTCAAATTATATGAACTTTTATTAATATTTTAAAATGTATATGAAAAATTACAAATTATAATATTTTTGTATGTATCTTTTTAATATATAAATTTTTAATTTTAAAATCAAATTTAGTACTTTACAATCTTTTAAACGAAAGAAATCCCACAATAAGGAAAGAAGAAATACAAAACTCTTAGCTTAACCATGATTTATGAGGTGTATTTTTTAAGCACACTTTGGCCCTTATATTTGTTTATTTACAAGTGTAATAAGATTAACACTACACTGGACAAACTGGACACAAACGAGGGGAGCCGCATCCTGCTTACAACTCTATCAAAGGCTCTACTAAAGGTAAACTATGTGGGGATCATCCAAAACCTTCATGGATCATCGTGTGCCAAAATGCCTCACACGATTAAAAACTTCCTCTAGCTTCTTCACCATGACAAGCTCCCCACAAGCTACTTTCTTCAAAAGATAGGACTGAACATCAACACTGTATATATATATGTCACTACTGTGACTCTCCAAATGATGATACCAATTGTATCTTCTTATGTTGTTGCAACACCAATACCTTTTGAAATATAATTGCAAGTAAAACACATTTTTCCAAACCATAGATATAACCTCCATCAATACCAACAATTGGGTTGAATTTTTGAATGGTCTTTAGGAAAAATCCTACAATACTTAAATATCGTGGGACATTATGATTTCATATTGCATACGAAACATGTGGCTCACAATGAATGATAATCTTTTTCAATAACAAAGATAAGCGATTATTACTGACAACACCATCACACATGACATTGAGTACCAACTAATGATCATTCATAAAAAGCGACATAACCTACATCCACGCTAAGTGAGAACCTCGTCCCCTAGGCTCTAGGCTGGCTTTGTTAAAAAAAACCAGGACCAGGTGCCTTGGATGAGTCTTCATGAACCAAACTTTGCACATGATATTGGGCTTTACTGAGAGCAAACTCCATACTAATCCCACCATGGCGAGCATTGCTCTTTACAATATAATATAAACACACTCCCCTGGAAATTAATACATTGATTCGTCTAATATTATCTATATGCTTAAACATGATCATAGGCCCTCTAATAACCTAACTCTTGAGTGCAAGTCCTTAATGCAAATGTCACACATGTTTAGGATACCAAATAGAGTGACAAATGCAATGATTAAAGAAGGAGCGGAGAATGCAGATTTTGGAGCACCAATTCTTTGGCTAGTTCCTCCAATATTTGCACACACGACAATGGAAACAAACATTTTAGGAATTAGTTATGTTAGAAAAAGTAACAACCCTCCCAGGTCGATATGTGGCCCAAACAATTATCAATGTGCCTTCTACCACTGGAAATGACATATCTTTGAACTAATTATATACTAGCTAGTATGCAAATGTCACATTCTTAACCCCCACCCCCACCCACCCCACCCCACCCCACCCTTATCTCAAAACTAGGTAATGTTGCCCGTGCTATGCACGGGCACGGACCCAATAATATAAATGGTATGTTTTGGGGCTAATAACGGAGATTTTGAAGCGATTGTTTGCGTGAACAAAGGAATAAGTTTTTTTATCACAAACTTGTACTTTATTTGACGCTATTCAAGGCACAATAAGACTATCCACATACAACATCTTTGAAATATTTTATGTTGTCAATTATCATGATTTATAGTATTTTTACGATAGATTCACTTAAAGAATGAGTGGAATTTTTTCTATTTTTTTTCAAAACATATTTTATGTTGTCAATTATCATGATTTATAATATTTTTACGCATTTTTTAAATATAAAAAACCCAAAAAAAAACAAGACAAATAAATTAAAATGGACCCAATATATGTTATTTTTGTTGTCTCAATTTGTGTCACACAAATAAAATTTGGAGAGTCATCCAAATTTTAATTTTTTTTTTAAAAATGTTTTAAGTTATTAATTATTGTGATTTATAATATTTTGATGTAACTTTCAAATAACCAACATTACTGATCACTTTGTCCTAATTTATGTGATATGGATAAAAATACAAAATTAACCCTTTTAAAATGTCTTTCAGATATTTTAAGTTGTTAATTATTATTATTTATAATACTTTTTTGGTAATTTTAAAATGATATGTGTTATTTTTTCTGTCCTAATATATGTGAGCCTGAAAGAATTCTGAGAGTGAACCTATTTTATTATATAGCTTTTAAATATTTTAAATTGGTAATTATTCTAATTTTTAATGCTTTTTAAGTCATTTGTAAATGATATATGTTGCTTCCTTTGTCCCATTTTATATAGTATAAATAAAATTCCCGAAACCAACTAAAATTTTAATATATTTTTAAAAATATTTTAAATTATTAATTATTGCGATTTATAATATTAAAAAAAAAGTACAAAACTTGTATCAGCCTAAAAAATGACCACGATAATTTGAAGCCTACAGAAAGCAATATGGTTGTACGTAATTTTTAAATACTTAATATATATTACTCCACTTGTCTCAATGTATGTAGCATTGATAAAATTTCAAGATTCAATAAAATGTTGTTAATTGTTAACATTTATAATACATTTTACGTAGTTTTCAATAATTTCACATTAAACAATACATATTACTACTTTTGTCTCAATGTATGTAGCATTGATAAAATTTCAAGATTCAATAAAATGTTGTTAATTGTTAACATTTATAATACATTTTACGTAGTTTTCAATAATTTCACATTAAACAATACATATTACTACTTTTGTCTCATTTTATGTGACATTGATAGATTAATTTTAAGAATCAGTCAATTTATTTTTTCTTTTTTTTTTAATAAATATTTTAAGTGGTCAAAATCATGATTTATTGTATTTTATACATAATTTTTAGCGATAGATTAATTTCAAGAATTAATCGAATTTTTTTATATGTATTTATTTTTGAAATATTTTATGTTGTCAATTATCATGATTTATAGTATTTTTACGCAATTTTTAAATATAAAAAAAATTAAGACAAATAAATTAAAATGGGCGCAATATATGTTATTTTTGTTGTGTCAATTTATGTGACACAAATGAAATTTGAAGAGTCATCCAAATTTGCATTTTAAAAAAAAAAAAGTTCTAAGTTATTAATTATTGTGATTTAGAATATTTTTATGTAACTTTCAAATAACTTACATTGCTGGTCACTTTGTCCTAATTTATGTGATATGGATAAACTTACAAAATTAACCCTTTTAAAATGTCTTTCAGATATTTTAACTTGTTAATTATTATTATTTATAATACTTTTTTGGTAATTTTGAAATGATATATGTTATTTTTTCTGTCCCAATATATGTGACCCGGATGGAATTTTGAGAGTCAACCTATTTTATTATATATCTTTTAAATATTAAATATTTTAAGTCATTTGTAAATGATTTATTATATTATATTATATATATATTATATTTATTTATACTATATAATAAAAGGGATTTTATTATGATATTATATAATAGTAGAATATATATTATATAAACTCCCTTTTATTATACAGTAGAAATTACAATTACAAAATTAACCCTTTTAAAATGTCTTTAAGATATTTTAAGTTGTTAATTATTATTATTTATAATACTTTTTTGGTAATTTTAAAATGATATATGTTATTTTTTCTGTCCCAATATATGTGACCCGGATAGAATTTTGAGAGTGAACCTATTTTATTATATATCCTTTAAATATGAAATATTTTAAGTCATTTGTAAATGATTTATTATATTATATTATTATATATTATATAAACTCCCTTATAGTAGAAAAATAAATATATATTATATAGTAGAAAAAATGATTTATTATATTATATATTATATTATATATTATATAGGGAGTTTATGATTGGACATCACAATGTCCCATCATAAACTCCCTCTTATATAATAAGAGAATATATAGATTATCGTTATTGACAAAAAAATAAAATAAAATTGCAAAATGTATATTTACTCCCTAAATTAAGATTGAATTTTTTAGTTAGAAATTTTATTTCATAGGAGTTCTATATCCCCTTAAACTTTTCTTAAAAGTGAAATAAAACTATTTTAGCAATGAAATTAAAGTTCCTTTCATTTTGAGCAGATAAATTGTTATTTCTTGAAATCAATTTTTTTCTCCATTATAATCTAGGAACAAAGTAAGTCACCGTTACAAATACCAAAAATCGATTTGATGTATAATTAACTAGAAAAAATTAATACATATATCCAAATGTTAGAAATAATATATTTCAAATTGAAGTGTTACTCTTAACATATATAAATTTATGATTTTACAAAACATTGTTGACTATGCCATTTCAGGAGGTCGGGTCAGGGATATGGTCTACTTTAGAGTTAATTTAGTCTTAAGTAAATTTAAGTATCAATTTTAAATTTTATTCTAAAAATCTTATAGTTATTGCATTTTATTAAATATATATCAAAAGTCCTATTTTGACTCAAACAAGGTAAATATTAATTAGATAAAATAGATTAATTTTTGAAAGCTAAAATAAAAATTAAATGATTTTAGTCACTATTTCCCCCTTTTTGATTTCTAACCCCGCTCCTAAATAAAAATAATTTTGTATTCAGAAAGACTCAAATTCGAGACATCTAATTAAAAATAAAGAAATATTTATCCTTTTACCACATTTTTTTTTGGTTGATTTTAATGACTAGTTTCTATAGGTGGAGACTGGAGTGGTAGGTAGTATTAAAATAGTAGTACAAAATATCTTAGAAGGCGGAACACGGAACTAGGATAAGAATTTGAAAAAAAAAAAAAAAAAAAAAAAAAAGAAGAAGATAAAAGGTAAACCAATCCAAGAAGTAACAAAGTTAAATTCAACGCTTCTCCTTTCCCTCGTGTTGCAAACTTGCAATAAACCCAGCAAGGTCTGCATTTGTTCGTCCTTGACGGCGACGGTTAGCCGGAGATTTCTACGTACTACGTTTCCGTGATAGGTGTTTCATTCGTCAGATGGAAGTAGAAGGACAAGAATTGAAGAAAAGGAAGCAACTTGGCGAAGATTCAATGCACACTTCTAGGGATTATTGGCGATCTCGCAACGGACCTCGCAAGTTTTTCGACCGTTATAGCGTACCTAAAGGTTTACTTCCTTGCTCTTAAATTCAGTTCACAGTACGAGTTCACATTTGCCTTCGATTAGTTTTGTCAATTTTACTCACTGTGAACCATCAGTCTGTCGGCCAATTGCAGGTTTAGTATTGCAATCAGGTTGCTTGAAAGGAACTAGAGATAGTATATATAACTAGAAAAAAATAGAGAACAGTTTACAACTAGTCTTTATATTGTTAGGGTATATAACTTAATCCTTCCCCAATATAACTTTCTAGTTGATTGCCAACCTAGAGGAAGTCTTGATTCTCTCTAAATCGTGTAGTCAGAGGGCTGAACTCAGTAAGGCAAAGACAAAATATGGACAGTTCCTCAATATACAGGATGCAGTAGTAAGGCTAAGGCTCAGTGGTTGAGAGATGCTCATAAAAAATTAAAGGAAAAAGAAGAAACCTCTGTATGCCAAAGATTCTGGATGAGGAGGGGCAATGGAGAGAAGGGGGAGAGGAAGTTGCAAAGGCTGCAATTGACTACTTCTAGAGAACTTTTAATATTGACTCAAAATTTGGAAACCTGACTTGCATCGAGTATATACAAGCTAGAGAATCTGATGAAGATAATGCTATGCTCATGGCAAAACCAACTAAGGAGGAAACAAAAGTTAGTGAGATTGATATTGACCCAACAAGTGCAGCAGGACCAGATGGGTTAAATGCTTTATTCTATCAGAAGTGTTGGCCAATAATTGCTGATAATGTACATAATGCTGTGACTGCTTTCTTCTCGGGTGCCAACATTCCTAGGTTCTTCTTACATACATGTCTTGTACGTTGCCAAAGGTTGAGTTCCCTCAACAGTTATCTGGCTTGCGGCCTATTAGCTTACGTAATGTTTCTAGTAAGATTTTCTCCAAGATCCTTTATAGTACATTAGCTCTGGTCTTGCCTAAGATCATTTCTGTGAATCGGTCTGGATTTTGTAAAGGTTAGACAAATTTCTGAAAACATTTTGTTTGCCCAAGAGATTATCAACGACTTTGATAAGGAGCAAAAAGGTGGGAATTCAGTGATGAAGTTTGTCATGGCCAAGGTCTATGACAGTGTGACTTGGCCCTTTTTGAGCCAAGTAGTGAGAAGATTGGGTTTTTCAGAAGCATGGTACAAATGGTACAAAAGCTTTCAGCCAAGTAATGAGGAGATTGGGTTTTTCAGAAGCATGGGTACAAATGGTGTTGAGACACATCTCATGCAACTGGTATTCTATCATTGTAAATGATCTGAGGAATGGCTTCTTTAGTCTACTAATGGACTAAGATAGGGTGATACAGGTCCTCCTTCCCTTTTTGTGATAAGTGCTGAGTTCCTCTTAACTATGCTGAATAAATTGCTGACTAAGAAAGGCTTTGCTTCCTTTTTAATGCATATGAAAGGACCTTTAATCAACCACCTCTTCTTCGCAAATGATATGATTTTGTTTGCTAGTGGTAAATTTGGAACAATAAAGCTAATCATGAATACCTTGGAGCTGTATGAGTCCACCTCTAATCAGATGATAAACAAGGATAAAAGCTGCTTTGTGGTGCCTTCATTGATCTCACCAAGAAGAGTGGAGAGAAATGCTTGGCTAATTGGTATGCAACATAATGAGTTGCCTTAATTGTATCTAGATTTCCCTCTATGTGTTGGAAGGCAACAAGTATCTTACTTTAGTGTCCTGATTAGCAATATTATTGGGGAAGTTAGGGGGTGGCAATCTAGGCTCATGTATCTCGGTGGTAGGGCAATCTTGATCAGACATATTTTGTTGGCAATGCCTGTGCACTTGCTAGCCTCTACATCCACCAAAATAGGTTCTTGCATAAATGGAGAAAATTTGAATAATTTCTTTTGGGGATCTATTGAAGGGAAAGATAAACATCATTGGGCCTCTTGGGACCAAGATATGTTATTTCAGAAGGTGGAGTAATTTTTAGAAGGTTAAGGGATGTCTATAAGGTTTCCCTTGCTATGATCCGGTGGAACCTCAAAACAAAAAGGTCCTTATGGGGTGATTTTTTAAAGTCCAAATACTTCAGGTGGCCTCATTCTCTGACTAAACAATTGACTAGTGATGTGTCCCAGAGTTGGAGAGCCATTTGCAAGATTAGGTATGAGGTGTAGCAACATTTACACTTGTTGGGTGGTAAAGGATATATCTCATTTTGGTTTGACAATTAGAGCACATTTGGGCCTTTGATCAGTCACCTACCATATGGTATCAGGCCTGGACACATTAAATTGAATGAGATTTGGCAGGTGGAAATATGGCATGAGCCACTTATTGGTGTGCATTGACCAGGATCACTATGGAATAGGCTACATAGCATGAATGTTGTGTTTTCATTCTGGAAAAGCAGACAAACCAGTATGGACAACCAATAGTAGGGGCAATATTTCTACATCCTCTTCTTGGCACATTTTTTTGTTTGAAAAAGTTAACTGGTATTATAAACATAGAAGTACACCAATAGTGAACTCTTGTAGTAATTACATCAAAAGTATAGAGGGTTTACCAAAAAGAAACTAAGCACCTATCTCCCTCATAAACTATCTAAGAAATAGGGTGATGTCCCCTGGAACCTTGGGAATAGAATGGATACACCAAAAGTAAAAGGTCACTAAACAATTCATTTTAATGCTTTGGAAAGGGATGCTCTTGTTCTCAAAACATCTTTGATTTCTCTCACTCCATATTGTCCACCAGATGCAGGCAGGGACAATCTTCCATCTCTCCTTGTGTCCTGACTGACTTCCATCTCTATTCCAGCATGCTAGGACTTCTGCAGTATTTCTAGGCATGGTCCATGTGATACCTCTTCGGTTAATGAAATATTTCCATAGCTTCTCAGTCACTTTACAATGCAAAAAAAGATGGTTTATTGTCTTTGTCTCAGATTCACACAAAAAACATCTGGAGCATAAGTCCTTTCCTCTTTTCATTAAGTTATCCTGAGTCAGAACAGATTGTCTTGCAACAAGCCATGTGAAGTAAGCGACCTTATGTGGTATTTTCCCTTTCCAGATCATCTTCCAAGGCCACAACTCCTTTGTTTCAGTTGAAGTGTCTAGTAATTTGTAGGCTGATTTCACCTTGAACTTGCCGTCTTTCTCCAGCTTCCATGTCAATTTGTCTTCCTCACAAGTGAGGTTCTTGGCTTGTTCCAAGGTATTATAGAACTGAGTCATTCTCTCCACTTCCCAGTCATTGAGGAACCTTCTAAAAATCAGGTTCCATCCTTGTTCATTTCTGACTTCTACAATTGTAGCCATTTTCTGCTGATTGAGGATATAAATGTCTGGGAACTGCTGTCTCAAAGGTGTTTGTCCCATCCATGTATCATTCCAGAACAAAGTTTTCTTCCCATTTCCCACATTAATCACAGAGTTGTTCCAAATTCTTGGCCATTGATTTCTAATAGTTCTCCATAGACCCACACCATAAGGAGTATTGACCTCCTTAGTAGTCCATGATCCTTCCTTTCCATATCTGGCAAAGATAGTGTCCTTCCATAAACTTTGGTCATCTGTTGCTAGTCTCCAGAGCCATTTTAGCAGAAGGCTCTTATTGTGGGCTTTCAAATTCTTAATTCCCAGACCTCCCTCTTTTTTGTTGGAAATAACAGCATCCCACTTGACCAAGTGAAATTTCTTGACCCCTTCCCCATTACCTTGCCAAAGAAAATTTCTTCTAATTGTGTCCAGCCTCTAAATGATCTTCCCAGGCATAGGAAAAAGGGATATCATATAGGTTGGCATGGCATCAAGAACACTGTTGATAAGTGTGACTCTACCACCTGAGGATAAGTATTGACTTTTCCAGTTAACCAACTTCCTTTCACATTTTTCTACCACAGAGTTCCAGATGCTCAAAGATTTACTCTTTGCTCCCAAAGGCATGCCAAGATAGGTGGTGGGAAGTTCCCCTATCTTGCCACCTAAAATGTTTGCCAGGAGGCTGATCTGCGGTACTTCATTCACAGGATAAATAAAGCTCTTTCCCCAATTGATATGGAGTCTAGATATTGCTTCAAACATAATGAAAATAGCCCTTAAGTGTTTCAGTTGTTCACTTTCTGCATCACAAAATACTAATGTGTCATCAGCATATTGTAGATGGGAGATAGACACTCCCAGTGAATCCCCTGACTCACTTTGAAGCCCTTAATTTTGTTATTAACCTGAGCAAACTTCAGCATATCACTTAGACCTCCCATAGCTAGGATGAAAAGAAAAGGAGAAAGGGGGTCTCCTTGTCTCAATCCTCTCTCAGAGGAAAAGAAGCCAGATGGTGAGCCATTGATCAAAACAGAGAACTTCACTGTGGTCATACAAAATCTCATCCATTTTATCCAGGTGTTGCCAAACCCCATCCTCCTGAGTGTGCTCCACAAAAATTCCCAGTTCAAGTGATTATAAGCTTTCTCTATGTCTAGCTTGCAAAGAATTCCTGGGACTTTGGATATGGTTCTCACATCTACACATTCATTGGCCACCAGAATGGCATCCATAATTTGCCTACCCTTTATGAAGGCCATTTGTTGTTCATCTACTAACTTTGGCATAACCCTCTTGAGTCTTTCTGTTAGGATCTTTGAGATGATTTTGTAGAAGCTCCCAATTAGGCTAATTGGCCTAAAATCTTTCAATTCAGATGCTCCCACTTTCTTAGGAATCAGGGCTATAAAAGTGGCATTAAAACTTTTCTCAAAATAGCCCTGATCATGGAAATTCTGGATGGCAGCTACCACTTCCTCCTTAATCACTTCCCAGCACTGTATGTAAAAGGCCATTGAGAAACCATCAGGGCCTGGTGCTTTATCCCCTGCACATGAGAACACACTGTTTTTGATTTCCTGTTCTTCAAATTGGCCTTGCAATGCAATATTGTCCTCTTCATTGATCATGGATTGAAATCTAGGATTGAATTGAGGTCTCCATACTTCTGCCTCCCTGTATAGTTCCTGGTAGAATCTAATTATTCCATCTTTGATCC